CACACACACACACACACACACACACACACACACACACACACACACACACACACACACGGAGCAGAGAGTTAGAAACCCCTAGGACAACCGAGTTCCTGTTTCTCTGCCCCGCCCCCCCAGAGCCCAGTCATGGGGGGGGGGGCAGAGCCCAGCTTCCCCTGCCCCGAGCCCAGCTGTGGGGATCCCCCTGGCCCCCCTCCCAGCCCAGACACTCTCACCTCCTACCCTCCTAGAGCCCAGGGATCCAGAGGGAGAAACAGCCTGATGCTGGTCTTGGTCCTGTGTGCTGTCACCTCCTTCAGGGCATGCTGGGGACTGCAGCTGCCAGGAACCCTCCAGGCTCCCTCGCCCTCCCCTCTGGCACAGTCTTCTATTTGCAAGCTGGGCTCTGCTGGGTCCAGCAGCCCCTAGTGGAGGCCAGCAGCTGTGCAGTCCATTTCTGAGGGGCAGGGGAATGGAAATTCTGCACACACAACACTAATTTCTGCCAAATTCTGCATTGTGCAGTGGTACAGAATTCCCCCAGGAGTACCTGCAACTCTGCATCCAGCCACGAGTGGGTGCCTTAGAGTTGAGATGCATGAGGGGGTGAGAGTGGTTGGGCTGGGAGGAGATATGAATTTTTGTCTGTTGTTACAGATGTACTTGTTGACAGGTTTTTTGAAATTGCCAAAATAATTGAAACTGGCATGATTATATAGTGTTATTTTGACAAATAAAATTTGCAAAATTTTAAAATATTGTGTGCATAATTTTTTTGGCACAGAATTCCCCCAGGAGTAGTTGCGGGAAACTTGGCCGCTAGCACTCCCTCCTGGTGGCCACTTTCTCGGCCATAGTGATCCCTCTCAGCCGGTCTCTTACCCAGACTCCTGCACTGGGTCTTTTTGGCTCATCCCTGTGGCAGAGTTATGTAACCGTTCAGTTCGCTTCTGGGGTTCAGGACTAAACAAAAGGTCCTTTGCCAATTCTGGGCTCAACTCCAAACTGTAAGTGTTTTTTGCTATTCCTGTATTTGACTCCAGTTCCCTTACCCATGTAGACCCTGGCTCAGGACTCCTCTCCATCAGAGAGACCTGTCTCCTCCACAGTCTCTTTCCAGCTGTTCTCTTTCAGGGCAGGTTAGGTCAACTTATTACTATGGTGGTTCATGCCCAGACTACCCTCCTTCTGTCAGTAGTTTGTGTCCTCACCAGGAGGGCTTCCACCAACTTAAGGGGAAGGGGGGGTGCTCCACATGCAGCTCTGTGCCCGGAGCCTGGCTCCCTGCTCCCTGCCATCGGGAGCCTGGCTGCCCCCCAGGGCTTCCTGCTTCCCGCTGGGGATGTAAGCTGCCTTATGTTGACCAAACTCTATAGTGTAGACCAAGCCTCAGTCTACTTATATGGCTTAGTTCTGCCTCTTTTATCCAGGATGTGGTTAGATCCCCGCTGCGCCCACTCCCCCACCCCCGACAGAAATTCAGAACATGACTATTTGGGTCCTTTCCCTTGCCTTGCTGATGATGGTAGTTAAGCTCAATAACAGACTGCATCCAGCTGAACAATATTGTCTCATAGTTTACTTGTGCTCCCCTGTCAGTCTATATCAGGGTGGATTGATTTAAATCAAAGCGATTTTAAATAATTGATTTTAATGATTTGAATCCGCAAACAGGAAACATTGATTTAAAATTGATTTTAATCAAGTTTTGCATTTGTACTTTTTAGTTGTTTTCCTAAAGAAAGTTTTTCATTGGTTGGTAACCATCATAACGTTGATTTGCAACTAACCATAGCCTTTACACTAAATTTGGTTGTTCTTTTTGCTAACTGGGAAGATGCGCTAT